CCTAGAGCAGCAGGCTCAATGCCCGGGCGGGGCGGGAAACACCGGTAACAGTCCCCCTCATCACTAATAGTCATAGCATACATGGCAGCAAGAATAGCATCAAAGTCAAGGTCAAAGATAGCTACCCCTGCCCTAGACAGCTCGCCCCAGCGAGGGATCTCAGTGGCCTCAGGGAACTGGTGACGCCAAGCGTCCGTCAGGCGGCCAAAGCAGCGCTGGGTGGGGTGCGCACCTCCACACTGCTCACCCGCACGGACGCCGGTGCGCAGGACGTAGGTGCACGGACCAGTACCCCCACCCCTCTGGCGTGCAGCGTACCACTCACGGAGCTGCTGAGGGGACACGGTCTCCCGACTGCGCTGCTGCTGCTGGCGCTGACCACCACCGGAGCCACTCCTCTGCGAAGAGCCACGACCTCCTCCTCCTCCTCCTCCTCCGCCACCGCCTCCTCCACCTCCGCCACCTTCACCACCTCCGCTCCCACCGCCACCGCCGCCGCCTCCGCCTCCACTGCCGCCACCGACACCTCCACCCCCGCCACCACCCCCACCGCCACCCCCACTCCCTCCGCCGCCTCCACCGCCGCCTCCATCGCCCCCGCTAGCTCCTCCAGCGCCCCTGCCCCCCTTGCCCCTGCCAGAGCGGCGTCTCCCAGTAGGGGTAGATGCCGCACCGACCGACTCAAGCCCAACGAGGTCGCCCACTGCAGCAGAGGCAACAGAGGGCAAAAGGGGGGAGGGGGAACACCCCTCAAAGTGGTGGGACAGACTGAGAGAAAGTGGTCCCTGACTACGCGAAGGGAGTCAGGGAGGCGGGTGACTATGTAGTAGAGAGTGATGTACATAGGGGGGGGGTTCTTGGCAAAATTATCCTGATAACATAGACCCTGGACGGGAATCAGGAGGATTGAATTCCTCGTTCGCTGGAAGGACCGCACGCCAACTGAAGATAGCTAGGTGCCCCTGGCCAACATTGAAAACCACCCTGCCCTGCAAGTGTAGTGTACCTGAGGAGCCGGGGATTCCGCGATATACATGCACTCGCGTAGCGGAGGGGGCTTCTTGAGGGGGGGGGGGGGGGGGGGGGGGGGGGGGGGGGGGGGTAGTGTAAGGAATTTTCTCGGCATTCCTTACGGAGCCCGACTACTTCGCGTACAGCAACAGCCGTTGTTTGCCCGTTACTGCTAATGGGACTTCGCCAACTTCGCGCGCACTGTTTTGCCAAACCTCGCACTGCTGTCCCGGCCGTGTCGGCCTACGCTTCGGGACTAGCCCGAGCCTCGCTGCCAGCATAGCACTAGCTAGCTCGCACGCACCGCGTTACCGTTTGCATGTTTCGCGTATAAATGTTCGCTCATGCCTTCGCTCACATCTTTGTACTCGTTTGACACCTTAGTGCAATTCTCCCTACCGTACTTCGATTCATTGCACCCGTAACAAAAACACTCACTTATTAGTTCATAATTTTGCAATCAGCATTGACGCACATTTCATTTCCTCTTGCAGTGTGCGGTTTTGCCTGACTAACATATTATAAATAATAACTCTGATGCTATTCATATAAATGATTAATGTATAGTTTTCTTTTAGATTGCCGGTATGTCAAATTCTAAGCTCCGCAACCCTTAGACGATTTCGCCGACTCTTGTTTTTGGTAGCAGTTGCACCAGCTGCTGAATATTTACTCTTACGGCAGAAATTATATTACATGGAAGCATTGCACAGTCCCGAAGATTCGTCACAAAATCCATCTTTGGAAAGAAACTTCTTCGGGGCATCGCTCAATAAAGGGGATGATGGTGAGCCATATGCATTACCCCTGCGGTTACCGCATCCAAGGCTCCTCCGTGTGTCCATGCCTGTCACTGGGTTCTCCCCCTTGGCATACTTGCATAGGGCCTGCCATAGGAGGGGAAGGGAGCAGAGGAGTAGTGGAGTGGAAGGTGATAGATACAGCGTATGTGGGAGATTCCAGGGCCCAGAGTCACCACAACAACCGTGTGTCCATGCCTGTCACTGGGTTCTCCCCCTTGGCATTGCATAGGGCCTGTTGAAGGGTGGAGTAGGATTGGGTGGTGGTGGTGGGGGGGAGTGTTTAATAGGTGGGGATTGGGTAATGACGCTAAGTAGATCTGGTGATATTGCACGGTGCCTGCTGAAGCGGAAGGGGAAGGGTGGGAGTAGTGGGAGGTGTTACATACACACGGGGATTGCCAGGAACATAAAAACGAGCTGATGAACATGTTTGCGGGATTGCCAGGAGCATAAAAACAATGACATCGCTGAAGCCAGCGGCGCCGTCCATAAGGAGATATCTAGTCTACCCTCCTGCTCTCATCCCTCCCCCCCCTCCCCCCCCCCGTCCTTCCCCAGATGGAGACTCCACCAGACATACCTGTTTCTGCGGCAGGTCTAGAATGGCATCGCTGAAGTCAGCACCGTCCACAATGGCCCCTCCCAGGTCGGAGCGAGTGAGCACGACCCGCAGCAGCACCGCATCAGTCAGATTCGCCTCGTTCAACACCTGGTGGGCGTGGTGTGGGCGAGAGTATCCAGGAGAAGAGCATTGGTATCACTTGTAAGAGCCCCCTATGGTAACCACCGATGTCACTCGTGATCATTCCAACAGGTAACCACCCAAATGGTAACCACCCAAGAGAACTTCCAAAACCACCCTTTTTTTCGACAATGGTTCAGCCCTGCGTGCATTGTCCCATGCACGATAATCACCTTCCTTCTCTAGTCCACCCAACAATGCGCGAGTAGCAGGAAAGGACCTGAGGTGCCCGAAAGTTTTGCCCACATTCCGTGAGTTCCAGAGGGGTCACCGACTCACCATTCGGTCCATTAGCGCGTCTGTGAAGTCCGCTCCTGCATGGCCAAAGAGCGGGAGGTGGTTTAGGAAGGGAGGGCGGAGAGAAAGAAAGGGAAAAAGCATGACCGAAGGAACGACGATCAATCCAAATAGGGGAAGATTACGTTGACTGGAGACGTGCCAGACTTAATGCGTAGGCTGTAAACGGCTCATTGATAGAGTAATTTATTTTCGTTTTCGTTTCTCTCACCCTCGAAGTTGGTGCGGTACGCGACGGCCTTCTCGAGGTACCCCCCCGCGAACACGCTCCCGCTGAAGTCCGCCTCGCGCATGTCCGCCGACGTGAAATTGGCGCGGCGGAAGTTCTCGTTGCGGTGCACCGTTTTCCTGCGATGGCCGTGGGGAAGTGGGGGGGCCAAGGATGGGGAAGGGGAACGTTGAGCGGAGTGAGGGTGAGGAGAACGAAGGATACAGCACGAGCCCGGCGACGGAAGTTCTCGTTGCGGTGCACCGTTTTCCTGCGCCGCCGCGCGGGAGGGGGAGGGAGAATGGGGGAGGGCTTGGTGATGGAATCAGGTGGGGGTGGGGGCTTAGAAAAGATGCAATCTGAGCAATTTGTTAGTTCTATGTTATTTTTTAAGGTTGATATGAGGAGAACCAGCTAAATTCAATGGCTTTCCTTGGGGTGCGTATTCCCAGGGACAACACGCAGGGTACAACACGATTTCCACACTACTTCACGTATGGACCTGCCTGCGAGACGTGACGTTAGAGCATAATATGTTTCTTACATTACGCGTCGCCACGTTAAAGTACGGCGATCAACAATGCCTCACCTCAGGTCCGCGGAGCCGTATTGCGCCACATTACGAAACGCACGGAGCCGCTTGACAGACGTACGCAGAGTTTGCAAGATCACGTCAAGGGGTGGTGATAACAGCTCACCTCAGGTCCGCGGAGCCGTATTGCGCGGCGGAGCCGATGCCGAACTCTCCGCGCGTCTCCGCTTCGAAGCGGTTCAGTGCCGCCTGCGCCGCGTCTGGCGGCAGCCCCACGGCGCCGAGCGCGAGAGAGCCCGCGATCGCCGCCGCCGCGAGCAGCTTCGCTCCTGATTTCGCGGCGTGTCCTGCCATCATACGCGATACAAGAAAACGCGACGTAAGAAGCAATGCGATGGAGGGATGTGCGAATCCAGGACTGAGGGTGCCTAGAGAGGGCAGACAGCCTTTATGATACATCACCGGCCGAGGAAACATTTCTAGTTATTTCAAGACAGGGTGTTATAGTTACAAAAAAGGACTGGTGCATTGCACTGTCGCAGTTGATCAATTCGGTCAACTCGGTCAACTCATTTCACGAATCACATAAAGGTGACACGTGGACGCACTTGGCCAGGACTCTCGCGATGGAGATTGCGAGTCTTGGCTGTCGGTCTGACTTGCACGAATCGCGAAAGCCGCGTTTCTTCTACGGACTGCTGGATTGGAGGACACGTGGCGTTTCAGCGATGACGAAGAGAGCGCCTCCGATCCGAGCGTCGAGGCGACGCCGACGGATGCGCTGCAGGAGAGGCTCAGAGAGCTCACGGCAACGGCGGACGCGGCCATTGGTGGCGTAGAGTTGGCTAAGTTTGTGAGTAAGTGAGGCGAATACCATAGTGGCAATTGATCTAGGACTGATGAAGTGCGACCAGTCAACGAGTCGCGTCGCGATGCAAATGGGTTTGTGGGGAAACGTGGCCCGAGCCGCGCACGCCTGGATGGAAAATCACCCTTGATTGTCAGTCAACGCGGAGCAAAGGAGACCCTGGAAGCCTCATCTTGCCAGCGTGGACATGCTGATATGGCGAATGAGGAAACCGGCCACGAGAGCCACACCAGAAAATTGCAGTCCAGTGAGGAAGCGGGAAGCGAGCTTTCCACGGCATCCCACCGCCAACCACGTAAGCGAAAGATTTGAACTCATACGGCTTATGATGCTGATCCGACGACAAGATACTAACCGTTTAGCAAAATTTTACGCAAATACAGATACTAGAATGGAATTATAGAACGTAAATCACGAATCATATCGAGGGAGACTTGAACGCAACCACATTCTACGACGCTGTTAGTTTCTCACTCGAAATTCACTGTAGCCCATCAGCAAACCCTGTCCCGTGACTCCCGTCCAAATAGTTGCTGGCCATGCGGCCGACGCGGGGCTCTAGCCGGCTAGTCGTCTCCCTACTAACACTGCTCGCGATCGTTGTCGTTTGGTTTGCCTTCCTCAGCGGTCTCCTCTCCTCCTCCTCCTCCTCCTCCACCTCCTCCCCTTCCACCTCTCCGCCAAACGCGCGAAGTAGCTTCGGCACTGGCAGCCTCGATTCAGTCTCAGCGAACACGGCTGGCCCGGCGAACGCACCAAAAAATATATTCCAGGCGGAATTCCGCAATTCAGGGCGGTGGAGCGCACAGGGATCAGATTTGGTGAATCCGATTTTGGCGAATTCCTCGGGATCTGCTTTAGGAAAGGGTTTATTTCCCAGCGGAACTCTCGAAGGCGGGTTGCAACCTCTTTCCGTTGGGATCAGTGGCCAGAATGCCGCTGCTGACGTGGATGAGTTTGATTGGTCGAGAACGAGTCAGTCTCTGCCGTGCGATCTGGCAGATGCGCTCCAGTGGCAGCCGCATTTGCCGGCCGCGGCTCTGAGGCGCGCGGTGTCTTATAAAGGGGATATGCTGCGACTGGACATGTTCCTGTACAAGGTATAGCATGGGTGTGAGCGTACAAAGTGTGAGCACAGTGAGTGCGAGCATAGCATTTACCCCCACATCCTCCCTCATTCATCCCCCATCCTCTCCCATACCATACACCCCCCTCATCAACCCTCCTCTCCCCCACTGCAGCTGGTGGTGCAGCGGCTGCCAGTGACGGTGGCAGTGGTTGGCGGGCCAGTGACGTTCCTGTCTGCGGGGCACAGGGGGCCGCAGCCAGTGCTGTTCAACCAGGGGCTGTACGGGACCACGGGGGAGAGGAGGTGAGCGACAGGGGAGGCTGTGGAATTAGGGGGGATCGGAAGAGCAGGGGGGTTAGGGGGAATACGGGCAGCAGGGGGGTTAGGGGGAATACGGGCAGCAGGGGGGTTAGGGGGAATACGGGCAGCAGGGGGGTTAGGGGGAATACGGGCAGCAGGGGGGTTAGGGGGAATACGGGCAGCAGGGGGGTTAGGGGGAATACGGGCAGCAGGGGGGTTAGGGGGAATACGGGCAGCAGGGGGGTTAGGGGGAATACGGGCAGCAGGGGGGTTAGGGGGAATACGGGCAGCAGGGGGGTTAGGGGGAATACGGGCAGCAGGGGGGTTAGGGGGAATACGGGCAGCAGGGGGGTTAGGGGGAATACGGGCAGCAGGGGGGTTAGGGGGAATACGGGCAGCAGGGGTGTTAAGGATCATGAAACCAGTGGCCTTCCTCCCTGCGGATGACAGGGGGCCTTGAGATGACAGGGGGCCTTGAGATGACAGGGGGCCTTGAGATGACAGGGGGCCTTGAGATGACAGGGGGCCTTGAGATGACAGGGGGCCTTCCCTCCCCGCCACCTCTAGCATTCTACACCCTCTGCCCCTCCCCTTTCCCCCCCCATTACTCCCCCTCCCCACAGCCACTCTCCACCACAGGGCTGGCTTTCCGCCGCTCTGGACAATCTCATACGCGCCTTCCCCCCACGCCACCTCAAGCAGTGGCGCGCGCCCGGCCAATCAAAGAGTGCTGTGGTGGCGGAGCCCTATTGGCTCATCAACCTGGGCCTGCCTCGTGGCAGCCTCGCCACGTGGGCGTCCTGTGATGGGTGAGTCAGCATTGAATTTTTGGGGCGTTGATTGTTGGGACTGTGTGTGTGTGTGTGTGTGTGTGTGTGTGTGTGTGTGTGTGTGTGTTTGTGTGTGTATGTGTGTGTGTGTGTGTGTGTATGTGCATGTGTGCGCAGTAAGAAACCTCCGTCCCATCACAGGAAGAAACCTCCTTCCCCCTCCCCCATCTGCCTCCTCAACCCCTTAACTCCCCCAATCTGTTTTTCCCTCCCCCGTCCGCCTTTTCCCTCCCCACTTCGCCTCCAACCCCTAATCTCCCCCAATCTCCTTTTGAGTCGACTCAAAAGCGCCTCCAACCCCTAATCTCCCCCAATCTCCTTTTGAGTCGACTCAAAAGCGCCTCCAACCCCTAATCTCCCCCAATCTCCTTTTTGAGTCGACTCAAAAGCGCCTCCAACCCCTAATCTCCCCCAATCTCCTTCCACAGAGCCACCTTTCTGCAGTCCCTGCCTGGTGACGTGGACCTGGTCATCGCTGAGCTGGCGTTATCTGACCAGGGCGAGGCCAAGGGGCAGGGCGCGGGCTCCTTCCTGCAGATGTACGACTCTGTGCTGCAGCAGTTGCTGCTGCGCTGGGGGGGTGGGGCGCCTCAAAACCCTCCTCAGACGCGGCAGTGGCAGAAAGGGAGAGGAGGGCTGGAGGGAGTGAAGGCGGCAGCGGGGGCAGCGGTGGTTATGGTGAATTTCTTCTCCTTCTGCCGTGGCAACCAGGCATGCAGACAGCAAGAGGTACGTACACGCACAGTCTGAGATTCTCGCTCAGAGGTTTGTGGGGGTTGGGTATTTGATATTTGTGGGGTGGGAGCAAGAGGAAGGGGGGTTGGGGGGTGGCAGTATCGCACTTTATCCCCTCTGTCCCCCCGCTTGGCGCCAAACCCAGTGTCATAGGACAATATAACACGGTTTCCCACTCTTTTTAGGTGCCGCAATATTCTCTCTACTTGTTTGTTGGGGCCCTCAGAAGTTGCCGTTTTTTACCACCCACTGAGCGCGAGAGGCTGTGTCAGAGAACAAAATCACACAGTGCTCTGACATAGGCCTCCCAGTGCTCTCCACCCAAAACATTTTCCTCACCCTATCCATTCTGCCGTCTCTGCGCAGCCTCCCCTCATGCGCGGGCAATGGGGGAGGCACTCCACCCTCTCCTCATTCGGAAACCCTCTGTCTCCTCCGATGTGGGCCCATTCTCTTTCGGCCTTCCGCCCCACCACCCTGCCTACCCCCACAGGGTGGCAGGAACTGGTTCACAGGACATTGGGACTCGGTCTTCCCACGTGTCCCCCTCCCTATTTTCCTGTATCTCCCCTTCACAATCTCCCCACCGTGCAGGACCCCTCTCTCTCCTTCGCTGACGTGGGTCCGTTCTCCTTCGGCCTGCCTCCCCACCACCCCGCCTACCCCCACCGGGCGCCAGAGGTGGTGTCAGAGGACAATATAACGGTGCTCGCTCAGTACTATAGCCTCCCTGTGCTCTCCACAAGGGACGCCTTCTTTACCCTCCTGGGTCACCAGGTCAGTGGTCCACCCACTACTCGACCACCCCACCAACCAACCACCTACCAATACCCCTCAGTGCTTGCTCATTACTATTCCCTCCAGGGCTACCCACCCAAGATGCCTTGTGCACGCTTTAACGAATTTCTTTAAACCTGTGCCCTCTCTGTCCCCTGTCCCCTGTGCCCCCTGCATCCCACGCTCCAGGCACCGGGTTATCGGTTGAAAGACGTGGTCACCACAGGCCCCTCCAGCCTTCCACTGCACGTGGAGCCTGACACCCTTGCCTCCGCCATTCCTCCTGCTGCTGCTGTAGCTGACGGTGCTGGCGATTTCGATGGCACTCTCCCCGTTGACTCCATTGACCCGCATGCCTTGTCTGGAGTCTTACCCACGGCACTGCAAGCGAAGACCAAGTACGCGGACGTCATCACTGCTCTCTTCCACTCCGCACTCAAAGGCAAGTCGGCCTGCTCTCAGCATCTTTCAATCATGGCTTTTGAGTAGGACTTCAAATTCACCGCACTCAGTGACAAGTCAACGCGCCTCGTGGAAGGTTGAAAAAGTCCACTTTGATGTCTTCGTCATGGGGATGTAGCTCAGATGGTAGAGCGCTCGCTTAGCATGCGAGAGGTATGGGGATCGATACCCCACTTCTCCATAAGTCTGACTAGTGGCAGATTGCTTTTGGTTCTCTCAGCTCACCCAGTCCCCTTCAGTCCCCTCCACACCCCACAGGCCTGATTGACCGGCTGACAAAAATCCACCCTCCTGCCCTCCCTGCTACGCCCCCCGCCACCCTTCATCTCCTGCTGGATCCACTCCACTGCCGCCTCCGGCTTCCACCCCCTCTCCCATTGATCTCCCCGATCATCTCCCCTTCACACGCACAGGTCTCATCGACTGGCTTGCAGAGATCCATGAGGACAATGCCACTCTCTCCTCCTCCTGTCGCCCCCGTTTCCAACCTCCTAACACTCTGTGTGACCTCTCCTCCACGCCCACAGGTCTCATGGACCGACTGAGAGAGATCCATGAGGACAATGCCACTCTCTCCTCCTCCTGTCGCCCCCGTTTCCAACCTCCTAACACTCTGTGTGACCTCTCCTCCACGCCCACAGGTCTCATGGACCGACTGACAGAGATCCATGAGGACAATGCCACTCTCTCCTCCTCCTGTCTCCCACCGCCCTTCTTCTCCCGCTGGATCCACTCCACTGCTGCTTCCGCCTTACAACCTCTGGCCTCTCTCAATAACCTCCCCAATCACCTCTCCCATTGACCTCCCTTCTCAACCACAGGTCTAATTGACCGGCTAGAAGAGATCAACGCAGACAACGACACGCACTCCCTCCTGCCCTTTCTGCTGCGCCCCCCACCGCCCTTCTTCGCCCGCTGGCTCCACTCCACTGCCGCCTCTGCCTTCCTCCGCCCTGCCCTCCCCCATGCCTGCTTCTCCTTCCGTCCCGGTGCCGTCGCCCCGCCTGTGCTGGGCCTCCAAGGCTTCATTCTGCAGAGCATTGGGCTGGAGCACGGGACGAATGGAAGGGGTCGACCAGGACTGGTGGCTCTGGACGATGGTGAGTGGTGCAGGGCGGTGGTGCAGGGCGGTGGTGAGTGGCAAGGAGGCGAGGGTTTCAGAGTGGAAGGGGTTGCGCGCGTTGAAAGGAACTTGCGGATCCACTGCACTCTCTGAATCGCTTTAAGCTGACTCGCTTCATGTCGAATTCTGTTCGTGAAAAACAGTCACCAGTCGTTCTACTTCCTCTTTCCTCTCCGTGGCAGATTCATGGGTGGAGTTTGTAATCAACACAGCCATCCCCCTTACAACAAGTTCCGGTACAAGCAACTTGCAGCCCATCCAGCTCACGACAATCCCGACCGTTGTTGAAATTTCCTACCTCGCGCATGCAAATGGGTCGTCTATATTCGGCAAGCTACAGTGCGTGGAGGGTTGCAAGTGTACCGGCGTGGTGGTAACTGCACTCAGCGCATCACCCGTCCCTTTGAAAGAGTCGCGGTTACTGCTGGTGTCACGGAACCATGCATGTGTGATGAGAGTGCAGGGCAGCAGGGGGTTTCATGTGTTGGGGGTTACTGTGCATTCTGTGATGCAGCAGCAGCAGGACCAGCAAACCCATGCCATGCGGCAAATCATGTAACAATCCTGTATGTAAAATCATTCCCCAGGTCTACGGCATCTGATAAGTTTCTTCCGGTGATGGGGTCCATCAAATCAATGGGAATATAACAATTCTTATGCACATTAGTACACCAATCATGGCACCGGTACTTGTGTGCAGCATATCCTATGATTACTGGCTCATGAATGCAGAGTCTCATTTCGAGTCGACTCAAAAATTGATATCCCTCTGAAGTTGTAGAGGTAAAGCACACTGTATAATCAGTGTGCCAATGAGTGGTGCATACCTGGTAGCCCTCTCATTTCTCCACCCATGTCGGCAGGTGCGAAACAGGTGAGGGCACTGAAGGTGTCCTAACAGTTGCCACCAGTCACCCAGTCACCCTGTCACAACCAGTCACAACCAGTCACAATCAGTCACAACCAGTCACAACCAGTCACAACCAGTCACAACCAGTCACAACCAGTCACAACCAGTCACAACCAGTCACAACCAGTCACAACCAGTCACAACCAGTCACAACCAGTCACAACCAGTCACAACCAGTCACAACCAGTCACAACCAGTCACAACCAGTCACAACCAGTCGCCACCAGTCGCCACCAGTCAATTAAGTTGATGCAGCAGTCGTTTCTGCCTTCCCACCTAAACCCTTGCTGCGAGCTCTACCGTAGGTAGCTGCATCTTCTGCCACCGCTGGCAACGCTTGTGTTGGTGCTGCTGCTGCTACTGCTGCTGCTGCTGCTGCTGGTGCTGGTGATGCTGCTGTTCCTGCTGCTGCTGCTGCCGTTCCAGCAGGTTCCGCTGCTGCTGGCCCGGCTGTCCCAGCAGAACGAGATCCAGTCACCTTTTCCTCTGGTGGGTGAGGAGCAAGTGGCGTGAGCAGCAGATTCACCTCCCCAGCGGGTCGCAGGGTGATCATAGCGCGGGGCACGGGAGGGGGAGAGCCCGCGGGGAGAGAGAGCGAGTAGGACTGGAGAATGCGGGCGAGGACGAGGGAGGCTTCGAGCAGCGCGAAGCCCATGCCAATGCAGTTCCTGGGACCCCCTCCGAACGGCCAGTAGGCGGGGTTGTCAGCTGGTGGAAGGGCGTCTCCCCCTGGTAGCCAGCGCGATGGGTCAAAGGTGAGAGCTCTGGGGGGAGGGACGGGAGGGGGAACGAAAGGAAGGAAAGACGAGAGGAGTAAGGGGCAGGGGAGGGGGAGTGAGAAGGGAGAAGGACTGGAGAATGCGGGCGAGGACGAGGGAGGCTTCGAGCAGCGCAAAGCCCATGCCAATGCAGTTCCTGGGACCCCCTCCGAACGGCCAGTAGGCGGGGTTGTCAGCTGGGGGAAGGGCGTCTCCCCCTGGTAGCCAGCGCGATGGGTCAAAGGTGAGAGCTCTGGGGGGAGGGACGGGAGGGGGAACGAAAGGAAGGAAAGACGAGAGGAGTAAGGGGCAGGGGAGGGGGAGTGAGAAGGGAGAAGGACTGGAGAATGCGGGCGAGGACGAGGGAGGCTTCGAGCAGCGCAAAGCCCATGCCAATGCAGTTCCTGGGACCCCCTCCGAACGGCCAGTAGGCGGGGTTGTCAGCTGGGGGAAGGGCGTCTCCCCCTGGTAGCCAGCGCGATGGGTCAAAGGTGAGAGCTCTGGGGGGAGGGACGGGAGGGGGAACGAAAGGAAGGAAAGACGAGAGGAGTAAGGGGCAGGGGAGGGGGAGTGAGAAGGGAGAAGGACTGGAGAATGCGGGCGAGGACGAGGGAGGCTTCGAGCAGCGCAAAGCCCATGCCAATGCAGTTCCTGGGACCCCCTCCGAACGGCCAGTAGGCGGGGTTGTCAGCTGGGGGAAGGGCGTCTCCCCCTGGTAGCCAGCGCGATGGGTCAAAGGTGAGAGCTCTGGGGGGAGGGACGGGAGGGGGAACGAAAGGAAGGAAAGACGAGAGGAGTAAGGGGCAGGGGAGGGGGAGTGAGAAGGGAGAAGGACTGGAGAATGCGGGCGAGGACGAGGGAGGCTTCGAGCAGCGCAAAGCCCATGCCAATGCAGTTCCTGGGACCCCCTCCGAACGGCCAGTAGGCGGGGTTGTCCGCTGGTGGAAGGGCGTCTCCCCCTGGTAGCCAGCGCGATGGGTCAAAGGTGAGAGCTCTGGGGGGAGGGACGGGAGGGGGAACGAAAGGAAGGAAAGACGAGAGGAGTAAGGGGCAGGGGAGGGGGAGTGAGAAGGGAGAAGGACTGGAGAATGCGGGCGAGGACGAGGGAGGCTTCGAGCAGCGCAAAGCCCATGCCAATGCAGTTCCTGGGATCCCCTCCGAACGGCCAGTAGGCGGGGTTGTCAGCTGGGGGAAGGGCGTCTCCCCCTGGTAGCCAGCGAGATGGGTCAAAGGTGAGAGCTCTGGGCGGGGGGGGGGAAGGGAGGGGGAAAGAAAGGGGGGAAAGACGAGAGGAGTAAGGGGCAGGGGAGGGGGAGTGAGAAGGGAGAAGGACTGGAGAATGTGGGCACTCCCTTCTCACTCCATGGGCATGGGCACAAGGGAGGCTTCGAGCAGCGCAAAGCCCATGCCAATGCAGTTCCTGGGATCCCCTCCGAACGGCCAGTAGGCTGGGTTGTCAGCTGGGGGAGGGCGTCCCCTTGCCCATGGGTAGCGAAATGATTCAAAGGCGAGGGCTCTGGGGGGAGGGGAAGGAAAACGAAAGGGGGGAAAGGGGGAGGAAAGGGGAAGGGTGGGAAGGGGGGAGAAGAGAAGGATGGAGGCAGGTACGGTCTCACAAGCACTGTGATGCCTTGAGGCACACGCCACTCCCTGCCCTCCCACGTGCACAGCAGATCAGCCCACGCCCCACCCCTCCCCGCCTCTCACCCGGGCCAGTGCTGAGGGTCGCGGTGCAGCAGGTATGGCCTGACGAGCACAGTGGTGCCCTGAGGCAACTTTTGAGACGTCTCAAAAGCAGGTATGGGCTCACAAGCACCGAGGTGCCCTGAGGCACACATATCCCACACCCCTCCCTGCCTCTCACCCGGGCCAGTGCTGAGGGTCGCAATGCAGCAGGTATGGCCTGACGAGCACAGTGGTGCCCTGAGGCACACGCCACTCCCCATCCCAGTCCTCCCAGTTCATGTGCTGTGCACGCATGTACACCAAGTGGTTCCAGCGTCTCCTCCTCATCTCACCTGGGCCAGTGCCGTGGGTCGCAGTGCAGCAGGTATGGGCTCACACACACCATGGTGCCCTGAGGCACACGCCATCCCCCCCCACCCCTCCCCCCGTTCCCAAGAACATGTTTTCCCACAGCATTTTCTCCACGCCTCACCGCCCCTCACTGCTCCACACCGCTCCTCACTCCACACCGCTCCTCACTCCACACCGCTCCTCTTTGCTTCTCTCACCTGGGCCACTGTTGTGGGTCGCGGTGCAGCAGGTACGGGCTGACAAGCACCGTGGTGCCGTGGGGCACGCGCCACTCCCCCAGGCGCGTGTCTCGGCATGCACAGCGCCCCACAATGTATGCAGGCGGCATCAGCCGCAGCGTCTCCTGTATCACTGCCTCCAGGTACCTGTCAGGATAGTGTGGGGAGACGGATGGGATGGCGGGGGGAGGATATAACGGTTGACATTAACCGCAGCGTCTCCTGTATTACTGCCTTTAGGTACCTGTGACGATTGTGGGAGACAGATGGGTTGTGGGATGTGATGGTGGGGGGAGGGCGGTAAGGTGGGGCGAGAGCCACTCCCCCAGGCGCGTGTCTCGGCACACACAGCGCCCCACGATGTACGCCGGTGGCATCGACCGGAGCGTTTCTTAAAATCACTGCCTCTAAGTACCTGCCATGATTTTGGGAGGTAGATGTGATCGTGGGGAGCAGTTTTTGAGAATTCTCAAAAACCGCTCACAAGGGCGGTAAGGTGGGTTAAGGGTGACACACCCCCAGGCGCGTGTCTCGGCACACACAGCGCCCCACGATGTACGCCGGTGGCGTCAGCTCCAGTGTCTCCTGTATCACTGCCTCCAGGTACCTGTGACGATGGCAGGGGAAGGACAATGAGAGGCATCAGACTTAGTGTTGCCTGTATCACCCTCCCTTCCCTCCCCTCGCACTCGAGCTTGAGAAAGTCAGCACAAGAATAGCTCTTCCTGCTCAGCACCATCTCTTCCCCTCTCTTCCCACTCACTCACTTGAGCTTGGGAACGTCAGCGTGAGTGGGGCTCTGCCCTCCCAGCACCTCCCACACCTCCTCTGCTGCCCGCCTCTGCTCCTCCGGATGCATCGCCAGCTGCACACACACCCACGCCAGCAGGATGGCCGATGTCTCCTGGCCCTGGGGAAATGGGAAGATTGAGAAACAGAGACAGAAAAGCGGAAATGGAAAGAGAGGGGGCCGGTGCGAGAGTCAGGAGCGACGTTTTGGATACCTAGAGAAAAAAAAGAGTTTTTTTTTTTTCGGACTTGGAGAGAGATGGACGAAATGGTGAAGCAGGAAACCTTGTCGATACGAAGAGCTGTGTTTTTAGAATTCTCGGAACGCACATCTAGGATGACAGGAAACCTTTTGAAGGATATATACGGGGTGAAAAACGATGAGAAAAGATCACCAGTTGCCAGATTAGTCTGAACTGAACTGAAATATCGACAGCAATAACGTGATCGAGCTGTACTACAATACAAACCACCAAACCGCAGTGTAACGCATCGTACCGCAACCAGCAGAGTCATGAGCTCGTCTCTGAGTGACTGGTCGTCCATTCCCGAGCCGTCCTCATCCCGAGCCTGGTGAGAGTGGGCACAAGTGAGAGCAGGAAATGAGGGTGCAGTTACTTAGTCTCTGAGTGATTAGTCGTCCATTCCCCCGAGCCGTCCTCATCCCGAGCCTGGTTAGATGGGAGGCAGGCAGGTATGTGAGTGCAAGAAAACGGGTCGACCTGCACTAATGTTTGCTCGCATAGAGGCTTTTTTTCAGCAGCAGCAGCAACAGCAGAAGCAAGGGAGGGGTGAATGGTGGTCTCACCAGCAGCAATCTTGTGAGCAGGTCCTTCCCCTCATCGCCTCCTCCCTGTGCAGTCCCCCGTGGGGCAGCCCACCCTGCCATCTCCTTCCTCCTCTCCTCTATTAGCCGATACACCACCCCGTCCAGGCGCTGCACTGCTGCCGTGTACTGGAGATTGTCGGGGGTAGGGAACCACTCGGGGACTGCACAAACATGCACATGGGAAGGAGCGAGAGATAGGGAGTTGGTACAACAGCACCCCGTACAGGCGCTGCACTGCTGCCGTGTACTGGAGGTTGTCGGGAGTGGGGAACCACTCGGGGACTGCATGTATACACGCACCCAAGAGAAGCGGTGGCATGAAGAGATGGCGGAGGGAGGGAGGGAGGGAGGGAGGGAGGGAGGTAGTGAAGGAGGGAGGGAGGGAGGGCGGAAGGGAGGGAGGGAGGGATGTGCTTAACTGATTAGCATGCTGGTGGTTCGATTGGCGAGTAACTCAAAGGGAGGAGATGGTCGAGGAGGGGGTGTGTGAAAAGTGGTGTTGGGCAAGTTGTCAGGAAGGGACTCCACTCAACTGATGAGCATGCTGGTGGCGCGCTTGGCGAAGAAATCAAACGCCATGGAGATGGGAGAGGGAGTGGGGTGTGTGATCAGAGCTGTGGAGCATTGTTGGGGGTGCATGATGAGCACTCAACTGATGAGCATGCTGGTGGCACGCTTGGCAAAGAAGTCAAAGGCCGTGGAGATGGCTGTACTGGGGTCACTTTGAAATCTCTCCGAAGCACTCAACTGATGAGCATGCAAAGACCGTTCGGGAGGGACGGGCTTAACTGATGAGCATGCTGGTGGCACGCTTGGCAAAGAAGTCAAAGGCCGTGGAGATAGCTGTACTGGGGTCACTTTGAAATCTCTCCGAAGCACTCAACTGATGAGCATGCAAAGACCGTTCGGGAGGGACGGGCTTAACTGATGAGCATGCTGGTGGCACGCTTGGCGAAGAAGTCAAAGGCCGTGGAGATGGCTGTACTGGGGTCACTTTGAAATCTCTCCGAAGCACTCAACTGATGAGCATGCAAAGACCGTTCGGGAGGGACGGGCTTAACTGATGAGCATGCTGGTGGCACGCTTGGCGAAGAAGTCAAAGGCCGTGGAGATGGCTGTACTGGGGTCACTTTGAAATCTCTCCGAAGCACTCAACTGATGAGCATGCAAAGACCGTTCGGGAGGGACGGGCTTAACTGATGAGCATGCTGGTGGCACGCTTGGCAAAGAAGTCAAAGGCCGTGGAGATGGCTGTACTGGGGTCACTTTGAAATCTCTCCGAAGCACTCAACTGATGAGCATGCAAAGACCGTTCGGGAGGGACGGGATTAACTGATGAGCATGCTGGTGGCACGTTTGGCGAAGAAGTCAAAGGCCGTGGAGATGGCTGTACTGGGGTCACTTTGAAATCTCTCCGAAGCACTCAACTGAAGAGCATGCAAAGACCGTTCGGGAGGGACGGGCTTAACTGATGAGCATGCTGGTGGCACGCTTGGCAAAGAAGTCAAAGGCCGTGGAGATGGCTGTACTGGGGTCACTTTGAAATCTCTCCGAAGCACTCAACTGATGAGCATGCAAAGACCGTTCGGGAGGGACGGGATTAACTGATGAGCATGCTGGTGGCACGTTTGGCGAAGAAGTCAAAGGCCGTGGAGATGGCTGTACTGGGGTCACTTTGAAATCTCTCCGAAGCACTCAACTGATGAGCATGCAAAGACCGTTCGGGAGGGACGGGCTTAACTGATGAGCATGCTGGTGGCACGCTTGGCAAAGAAGTCAAAGGCCGTGGAGATAGCTGTACTGGGGTCACTTTGAAATCTCTCCGAAGCACTCAACTGATGAGCATGCAAAGACCGTTCGGGAGGGACGGGCTTAACTGATGAGCATGCTGGTGGCACGCTTGGCGAAGAAGTCAAAGGCCGTGGAGATGGCTGTACTGGGGTCACTTTGAAATCTCTCCGAAGCACTCAACTGATGAGCATGCAAAGACCGTTCGGGAGGGACGGGCTTAACTGATGAGCATGCTGGTGGCACGCTTGGCAAAGAAGTCAAAGGCCGTGGAGATGGCCGGTCCCACCTGCTCCACCGCTGCTCCCCCCAGCCCGCCCCCGCCAAACAGCGCCGCCACCACGATTTTCATGGTCAGCTCGTTGAAGTCCCCATACACGTCCCTCACCACACCACCTTGCACCACCCCATCCCTCCCTCCTCGTCCTCCTCGTCCTACTAGGCTATCCGTCCACGTGCCTCCCACCATGTCATCAGCCAACTCCGCCATGGCCTGACGAGAGAGAGAGAGAGAGCGAGAGAGAGAGAGAGAGAGAGAGAGAGAGAGAGAGAGAGAGAGAGAGAGAGAGAGAGAGAGAGAGAGAGAGAGAGTAGAGCGCAGATGAAGGAAAGAACTGAAGATACAAACACAAGTCCTCGCCCTACTGGGCTACCCCCCCACGTGCCCCCCCCCACCATGTCATCAGCCAGCTCCGCCATGGCCTGTGAATGAGAACATAAGAGAGAAAACCAAGGGCCAAAAGCATAAGCAAAGGTGAGCAGAGGCAGAACGAGAATCGAATGTAAGGAGCTTGATCGGCAGTGGTCCCTCGTTGACTCTGCCGCCCACCATGTCATCAGCCAACTCCGCCATGGCCTGTGCCAGGGAGAAAACCGAAAATTAAGCAAAGGTGAGGAGAGGCAGAACGAGAATCGAATGTAAGGAGCTTGATTGCCAGTGGCCCCTCGTTGACTCTGGGCGCATTTGAACAGGAGCTGATGTTGCCTTCTTCACACGCAGCCAATACGAGTCCTGGTACCAATTTTAAAGCTTGTGAAAAAAACAAGAAACACCGCTTTCTTAATAGATAGACAAGGGTTTATGAACCCCAACCCAACTCACAATCTGAAAAAAAAAAAAAAAAAAAACACACGTCAAGCCCAACCCACTCTCAAACCCAACCCACCGTGGCATATGATTGAATGGCAGCCTTTCTGAATGCAGCGTTGGACAGCCGGCGCTGCCTCTTGCACACCCCTCCATCGCTCACCAGAAGACCCTCTCCTCCCCACCTCCGTGCCTTATATGAGTCAATCCAAGCCCAACCCACCGTGGCATATGATTGAATGGCGGCCTTTCTGAAGGCAGCGTTGGACAGCCGGCGTTGCCTCTTCCACACCTCCCCATCGCTCACCAGCAGCCCGTTCCCCGTCAAGCTGCTGCCGGGGAAAAATGCTGTGCCCGCCTGTTGAGAGGGAGACGAGTGAGTGTGAAGATAAACAGGCGTATGGATACACAGTAAACAGTAGTTTCTGCTACTGCGCATCAATGGTCAGAGCAGCCACTGCTTGATGTAGAGCGCTTTTTGAGACGTCTCAAAGATGTAGAGCTCTCAGCAGCTTCTGAAGGACTGAGAGAACTTTTGAGTCGACTCAGAATTCAACTCAGAGCAGCCGCTGCTTGATGTAGAGCTCTCAGCAGCTTCTGAAGGACAGAGAGAGAGCAGTGAGGGACACAGACGGATGGCTAGGGATGGGAAAGCAGATGTGCACGCAGCCTTGCATGCAGGTACACTTGATGGGATAAGCAGTTATTCACAAGGATAAGCACAAGCACGTGCACACCTTGATAAAAACGTCAGACTGCGTGACCAACACCTCCCGTGCTAATTCACTGCCATGACAGGGTTTGGAGAGGAGGGGAGGAAGTGCAGAAGGGGGAAGAGGGGGGGAAATGGGAGAGGGGACGAGAGAGGGGGAGCAGTGTGTACAGAAGTACGAAAAAAGGCCTGGGGAATGCATGTGAAGAGGCATTGGTTGGCAGCTGCAATAAAAGAGACCAGAGTCGTAATGACAGGGAGGATGGGTAATAAGGAGGACAGACGACCAAAGACACTTGAAAATCAGACAAACAGAAAAACGAAACGTTTTTTCATAACACGCACGGGTTGCTTATAACGAGTACGGGCTCTCCCACCAATCTGACAGTGGCAATGCCGCCTGGATAGTCCCTGGCCACGTCATCCAGGAAGGCGAGTGGATCTGACGCCAGCCTGACTGCTGAGTCATCAGAAGGTCCAGGTGGCAGCCCCGGAGGCGACGGTTGGATAAGCTTCTGGACACGTGTCACTGCATCCCCAAAGCTGCTGCTGACGCTGGCAAGGAGTTTTGCCTGAGAGAGGAGGTAAAATTGATTAGCAAACAAGAGATTCTGAAAAGGAACAAGGAAAGCAACTGTTGCTGCTGATGCTGCTGCTCAGGGAGGGGGTGATACGTCAGATTTCCAGGACTACCGGCGTAAATAACACCTGGAACAATCAGACTCACCTGCGACTGTGCGACGGCACCAGCAAGCGCCGCTATCGGCTCTGCAATCGAGCTTGAAACAGTCTGGAAGCTCACCTGCGACTGTGCAACAGCACCCGCAAGCGCCGCGATCAGCTCCGCTTCCGGCACTGAAAGCTGCGGACCAGGGAACGGCGGTAACCATGGCGCATTTCGCGGCAATCGCGAAACCTTTTGATCATTTCCTAGTTTAGAACCGTCCCGAGGTAAAACTCCAAAAGAGCGTGACGTCACCGTGTCGCGAGCGGACTTCCCTCCCAATGAGTTCCGTTCAGGCCGTGTTCCAGCGTTTTGCTGCTCCCGAAGCTGATTACTAGAACTCGCGCGATCTGAAGAGTCTGATCGTGCCGCCGCGGTGACGTCACGCGACCGTTCTGGATACGCAGCCAGCGGCTTATGAAGTGCATGCGAGCCGCCGAATAGAGGGTGATTGGCCAGGAATTGACGGGTGCTGGTCGAAGTTTGAAACTGAAGTATCGATCCACAATCTAGGGAGCCTGTGAACGCGATACGACAGCGCGGGTGTGTGTGCGAGGCTTGTTTCAATGGCCGGTTGCTGGCATTGGAGAGTGCAAGGCGACCAGTGGCGTGAGATTGACGAGAGAATGTGCAAACGGACACTGTAGGTGCCTCCATGGCGCGAAGCCGTGGACGAAAGAAGCTACGCTGACGGCAGCGGTCCGTGATTCATATGATCAGCTTGGAGTTAACTCGCGTTCGTGGTTCAGGGCATCATGATGGAAACTGTCTTTGCATGTACACGTCCTTCGACGAGCAGTCTAGACAAAACGCAGTCGGTTCCTTCAAGAACCAAATTCGGCGTCCTTAGAATCTGCAGCACAAGCAATAGGCGAAACAGGAACAACTGAAACAAGACAAGCAGGAGGGCAGCAATGGTGGCCTCGTGAGCGTAGCGCGCGCCGAAACCGAGGGGCCAGATGACGGAATTCTCGAGGTTCACCCGATTACCATCATACGGTCCCGATTCACGCTCTGCTCGCAGGTTCATGCTCCGATTCGTCGATCAATGTCCTCATGAAAGCGCAAATTCTGGCGGCTCAGTGCCACTGGGCACCCTGACATGTGGGCGACTGGCAATTTTTGTAATAAATGTGACTGACTTTTTAATGCTAATAACAATGACATAGAATTGGCTAATAAGCTCCCTGTACTATCAGCAAAATAGATTCTCCTGTGCGCATTCCCCGGCCCAGAACCCAAATAAAATGCACAAATCACCTATTCTCCACAAACTTCACAAAACTCGTCCAAGGTAGCTTCTAGTGCGGCTTTGTCAAAGTCACCGGTGAAAACACAGTCGCCCAATGAACCCTTCAGCAGAATAAGACGCAGCTGGCCGTCCGCTACCTTCTTATCCACCTGCCATATTGGAAGCAAAAACACCAGTATGTGTAAGTGTACAGAGTGAAATGTAAATAAGTAGGAGGTGGGCGGAGAGAGGGTGGGCTGGGCAGTCGGGCAAAACAAAATCTTGGAACACATATATCCTTGTGCCTATCAGGCAAACGAGTGTTATCCACTCACCATGAGGCTTCTCAGCTCCTTGGTGACCGCAGGCGAGGGCGGATGGTTGCTCAGAACAACACACATACCGCAATCGGGCTTCAGAACTTTGCCTTGGTGACAGCAGGCGGCGGCGGCGGCGGTGTGAGGAATATCTACCTCCTCTTATCCCACCACAAACATCCCTTTTGTTTGCTTAGGACAACCAAGCCCTTCCTCCCTTCAATCCTCTCCTCACCCTCACGCACGTACCACCATGAGGCTTCTGAACTGCTCCTTAGTGACAGCAATCGGGGAGAAAATGAGGAATGTCTGTTCACTCACTACTTGCACAGCCCCCTTCCTCCCTCTCCTCTTACCCCTCACACACGCACGTACCGCCATGAGGCTTCTAAACTGCTCCTTGGTGACAGCAGACGGGGGCCGCGTGGGCAGCCGGGCCTTCTTGATGATAGCAGTGATGCGATCCCTCAGAGCCAAGTCGATCCACCCCATGCGGTGCGACATGTGTGCTGCCATCACCGTGCCTGCTGCCACCGCCTCCCCATGCAGCCACTCGCCATATCCTAATCCGTTCTCTATGGCCTGAAAAAGTGGGTGAGTGAGGAAGAGAGGGAGAGGCAGTAAGACGAGCAAGTCACTACTCAGCTTTTGAGTCGACTCAAAAGCAGCTTTTGAGCCGACTAAAAAACTATCCTAAATCGTTCTCTATGGACTGGAAGCATGGATGAGTGAGGAAGAGATGGAGAGGCAGTGAGATGAGCGAGTCACCACTCAGTGCAGCCCAGTTCGCGCTCAAGGGGAGAGGGAGAGAAGAGGGAGATGGTACAGGGCAGGAGTTGGCCATGAAACCCTCACCATAGCCCAGCCAATGGCATCCCATCCCAGCCCAGTTAAATGTATGCTGAACAATGCAAAAAGGAGGAGTGGACATGGATAACGTACATGGCCGAAGGTGTGGCCAAGGTTGAGAGTGGCTCTGAGGCCGCCCTCTTTCTCATCAGCCGCCACCACTGCTGCCTTGTTCTCACACGACCGCTTGATCGCAAATGCCAGTGCTGCCGGGTCCCTGCCATGTAATCACATAAGGCCGCACATGCATGGTCAGACGGCCGAAAGCCGCAGACGGGCAGACAGCTTGAAACGGGGCCACATGGGTCCACATAGGTTCCAAAAATAGATGGCCAGATGGCCCTCAGCTGAAGGGGTGAAAGCATTTTGAGCTACGAGCTCGTCTCACCCTGAAGCATGCATACGGAAATGCGAGTACGATCTAAAAGGGAAAAGGGCGAATGTGATGCTGACTATTGGGGTTTCAGAAATCTCGTGTGTGGAATAAGTTTTTCACTGCTGACCCGCATATGCTTCGCAGCTCACTTAAAGAACAGAGTTTCATCATGCACCCATGGCCGAATCAAGGCATGTAGCAAAAACTAAAGCTTGAAAAAAAGGACGGAGCAGCATTCAGTGAGGAACAGAAGACAAAATTAGAGAATACGCGTTCAGCGTGTTGGGGTGTCAGAAATCTCGTGTGTGGAATGCAACTGTTCACCACTGCTCTGAAAAGAACAGTTCTCGCTGAACAAGTCATCATCATCCACCCCACCTGAAGTCCACACACACACACTTCATTTCTTCCGCAACATCCTCTCCCCCTTTCCCCTTCATCCTCGCCCGCCCATGGTCAGCAAAAACTCACAAATTCAACTAAAAAAATCACATGAAAAAATCCCCCCCAAAGAAACGAACTTTGTGAAACCCAATCTGTCAAACAACCTCGGCGCCCCATTCTCTCTCCACTCGCTAGCAGCCGGCCCAAGTTCTCCTCCTGCCACTCAAAGAACTCCGCGTCTCAGATGAAACGCCAGCCCCGAAGAGAACTCCTCCTGCTACCACCTCCCAGTGAAACGTGGCATGCTTCATTCCTCTCTCTCACCTCGCCAGCAGCCGGTCCATGTTCTCCTCCTGCTACCTCCTCCCTGTAAAACCCCTCAAGCCACGTAGATATGCATTTTCTTCTCTCACCTCGCCAACAGCCGGTCCATGTTCTCCTCCTGCCACTCGAAGAACTTGGCGTCTCGGATGAGCCCGTACTTTATCACCTCCGCGGCAGGCCCAACTCCAGCATCTCTTCTACCTCCTCCCTGCGGAACCCCTGAAGCTACCTGGAACACGTTTCCATCCTATCTCACCTCGCCAACAGCCGGTCCATGTTCTCCTCCTGCCACTCGAAGAACTCCGCGTCGCGAATGAGCCCGTACTTAATCACCTCCGCCAGGCCCGACGCGAGCTCCCTGTTGGGGAGCGACGCGAGCGTGTCGGTGTCGATCAGCACGCACTGCGGCTGGTAGAACGCGCCTATCATGTTCTTGCCCAACCGGTGGTTGACACCTGTCTTGCCCCCCACCGACGAGTCCACCTGGACATAAGCACAGGAGAGAAACGAGAGAAGAGAAAAGAGAAAAGAATAAACGCATGAAAACGGGTCTGGGTGAATGAGAGAGAGCGAGGAAGGGTTCAAGGCGAATGGACTACGGTAAGCAAGGGAGACGGACGGGAGGGGAGATGGACAGAAGGGGAACGGCAGACGAACAATACGTAACGATATAGAAAGCTTCAATGAGACGAAGGGGGAAGAGAGAGAGAATAGGAGCTTCTTGGGCGGAGGAAGGGAGCATACCTGAGACATGACGGTGGTGGGAATCTGGATGAAATTGACGCCTCGTAGGTACGAGGCCGCGGCGAAGCCAGTCATGTCGCCGACGACGCCTCCCCCAAGAGCCACGAAGGTGCAACGCCGGTCCATGCGGGTCTCCAGGGCTCGGTCGAATATCAGATTGAGGGTTTCCTGTGCGCGGAAGCAGCATGATGCGTTTCAAACCACGTTGACACATGGGGAACAAGATTAGGATAAACGGCTTGCAGAAAACTACACTTCAAGCAGATTAAAAAACGGAATGATTCTAAACGGCGCAATGCTGAAGAAAGACGAGAAAATCACAAGAGAGATCCACAAACCCAGGAAACAACCTACCAGGTCTTTGAACTGCTCGCCGTCCGGCAGCACGACGCTGCGAACCTCCAATTGGGGGTTGCCATGTGTCAGCGCCAAAATAGTCCGCTCCAGGAACAGCGGCGCGATGCTTTCATTGGTCACCACCAGCACACGCCGGCCCTTGACGTGCCTGAAATCACGGAACGAGAACGTACCAAGGACGGATTATAAAGAAAACATAAATAGTATGCAATAATCATTAGTAAACGAAGGCAACAGGAGATGAGAAACTAAAGAAAAGTAACACTTCGCATTGTCGGGCATACTGGGGCGAATAAACAAACGGTTCAAGTCCACACGCGTAGAAAGAATTTCCACCGTCCATCATCTTACCTGCACAACAAATCTCCGCGGTCCAGAATTCCCGCGCCAATGTAAATCGGGTAACTCCGATCTCCCAAATCTACATCCACGACCGTCAGTCCCCGCTCTGCTGACCCACCACTCTCCCTCGCCGCATTCCCCGCCGTCACTCCCGCCGTTTCTCCCGCTAAAGGAGCTGCTGCAGCGACAACCTGCGAATCCAGGTGTCTAGCATAGACCGGCGTAGCTAATCTCAACCGCCTAACCGATCGGATAGATGATTTAGCGGCTCCAAGGCACCGGTTTGGTTGGCTTGCAAAGAACGTGCTGGAAAGGGAATCAGAAACGGGAGGAGCAGTGCTTGGTCGGTGGTGAGAGGAGGATGGGGCGAAGGGAGTTGTTGCGACACAGCCAAAGCCAACGGCTAGCTCCGAGGCGAGCATTTTGAGTTCCTTGAGTTCCTCTAACGTGACAATGGCTTCGCTGTTCTGGAGAAAACAAATAATAAATAAAGGACTTCCCTTTTCTGCAGCGCAGGTTGATCAACCGCCTGGGGGGGAATATCGAGGGCTGGCGGAGCAGAAGCGCCAGCTGCTTTCTGCAACGGGGCCTTTTTTCTGGCCACGTTGGCGCGAAGCTGGTGGCGGAGGTTGGCTTTGGGAAAGATAGAGTGGACCACGTGGCACGGCACGGGCTGACATGCTTTTGTCACTCCTAACTTGGAGTTTGCATTCAGGTGTAGCGAAACTTAAACAGGTGCGTTTTGAAAATCGTAACCGGAAACTGGAGTCACCCTGAAACGCGAATACGTTGAGGCTTTGACCAGTTTCTTTCTTTTGTCGCCTTGATTCCAGCATTCAAAGTGGATTTGATCAAATGCTCCATAGCCAGTTGGTCTAGATTCTGGCCGCATCATTTAGTTGATCCGCATGCAGCGCACTAATCATGCATGATCGAGGAGAGCGCATCACGGACCATATTCGGCGTAGCCATGCAGCGCGATGGAAGGCTCTCACATGAGTTAAATAAAAAGGCCGCTGACTAAAAGTGTCGGCCCACCCAGGAAAGCTCACAGCGTACTGCATTCAGGCGATCTGCTCCGCTTCTCCTGCACCGACACAAGCAGGCTACGGGACTTAGGCCGTCCGTTGACGAGGTGTCGAACCGATGCTTGTTAGAGCAGTAAGAGCCGATAGAGCGGTGTCAGTGGGATGATTTAGGAAGGCCAGCCCCGCTGCTGCTCGACGCGACGAAACGGGAGACGAGGGGCCCGAGAGGCGACACGCTAGAGGCGATACGAGAGACGCGGGGGGCGGGAATCGAGAGGTGATAGGCGAGGCGCGAGGCGCGAGGCGCGAGGGCCATGGGGGTGCCGCTACTACTCGATGTGCTCCGCAAGCCAGCAACCACGCTCGTCGTCGCGCTCTGCTCCTTCATCTGGTTCCAGATCCAGAAACGCGCTATAAGCTACCCCGACGTGGGGATAAGCTACGACGCAGTCGTCTCGCACCGCCAGTTCTGGCGGCTCGCGTCCGCGCCGCTCTCGCACATCTCCCTCCTGCACCTCCTCTTCAACGTCTCCGCGCTCTGGAGCATGGGCGGGATCGAAACCCTAACCTCCGCTGACATCAGCAAGGTTGCCGTTATGGCCACTGGTGGTGCTGCTGGCAATGCGACGTCCAGCCAATGGCAGTCCGCCGTCTCTTCTGTGCCGCTAGCTCCTTCCTCTCCCTCCTCTCTCCCTTCCTCTTCCTTCCCATCCTCCTCCCAGCCTTCCTCCTCTCTGGCTCAAAGCATTCCGCACTCTTCCATTTCTGGCAGCCTTACTGGTCCGAGCAACTCCAGCACAGAACCCTCTGAGCCTGTAGAATCTACTGCTACTGCTGCCGTGGCGAGAAGAGGATTGGGAGAAATTGCCAACGCAGGTTCGATTCAGGGGCAGCAGCAGCAGAATTCAGCGGACGAGAGTGATCGGAAGCAGCAGCAGCAACAGCAGGGTGACAAAGCAGGGTTGCCGACAAACGAGCAGCATCTGGCAGCGGCAGGATGGGAGCCAGGAGGGTCCATCGGGTACCTAGGAGACTCTTTTCTCATGCTGGTGCTGTCAGGGCTGCTGGGTCTAGCCGTGTACCACGTGCTCATCCACAGGTGGCGCCTGGAGTATTTCCGAAGAGTGACAGCAGTGGGGTACTCGTGTGTGGTGTTTGGGTGGATGACGGTGCTGTCTGTGCGCCGCCCCGCCATCACGCTCTCGGTTTTTGGCCTCATCAAGCTGCCCGTGTCGCTGGCCCCGTTTGAATCTCTCATCTTCACGTCCTTCATCGTGCCGAAGGTGTGAATATCTTCCGTCCATCTGACGTTCTCTTGCTTCCCCACATAGTCCTCCTCGCCTCGTTCCACCTGGTTGTCTCCCCTTTGCACCGTTCCTGAGAACAAGCGTAGTCGTCAGTATTTATCTCTCTCACATTCTTGTCCATCTGTGAATGGCAGGCAAGCTTCGTGGGTCATCTTGCAGGCATCATTGCTGGCTATCTTCTTGCCTGGGGAGCCCTGAAGGTCCGTACACTGTACACTGTCTGCAATGTTGTTTTCAAGTCAGTACAACCTTGTGGCAGTTGCTGATTACCACCTCTCTGCTTTTGTTTCCATATCTGCAGGGATTTGATACGTATTGGACACTTGTTTTGGCATCGTGGTTTGCAATTCTCTGTGTCATTAGCTTGAAGAATTCATCACCAGTTGACTGCTCCTTTTTGCAGATAGAGCCGGTTGTGCCCGAACTTACAGAAGCACTAGCCACGTCTGGGCAGGTCCCTTTTTTGCTTCCTCCACCACAACTTCCCTCGGCACGAGGTGACAGTATCGTGTAAATAAAATGAATCGTATTGGAAAGGATGCGTCATTGTGTGCAGCATGCTACTGAAGGCTCCTGAAACGTGGTGCCGAACGGGTGGTTAGTTGAAATGCATACCTCACTTTGTTAAATTTTACATCACATGATTAACACATAGCATGTAAAATGTACAAAATGTGAGCTCGTGTAGGTCTCGTGTCTTGAGGGAGTGTGTCAATAACGGATACGTACCGTGTCCCGTGGTGAGGTTGATCACAATAGACGACACGACTTGTCGTGCCGTCGACGATAACAAACTGGGGCCTGTCGCTACGCCAGAGATAGCGATCCTAGAAGCAGCAGTCTAGAAGTAGAGATCCTAGAACCAGAGATCGACCATCGATCCTAGGACACATTTTCCTGTTTCCGTCCAAATTCGTTCCGTTTGTTCCTGCTGGCGCAGGACTACGTACGCCTTCTTAGATTCTTCTGGTCCTCATCTAAATACTTCCGAACCTCACCGTACTTAAGGTCCAATCCGAGCGTCAAAAGAATTCGTCAGGATGCGTCGGGGTTCGCTTTCTGCCTTGCCAGTTCCTCCGTCGCATCTCGTTTCGCTGCTAGACCGTGGATTTTCATGGATCGGAGTGAATCCAACCGTTGTACGAGCTCTGTCAGCATCAGCAGTATCACCGATAGCTACAGTGACGACAGCAGCAACAGCCGAAACGGCAGACGCGCGGGTTAGACCAGCAACAGCGGCAACAGCAGCAGCAGCAGCGACAGCAACCACAGCAACGACAGGGCCGGGGATATGGCTCCTAGCCAGGTCCACGTCAGCGCAATCATTGCCAGTTAGATCCGATCCAAGCCGATCGGAGTTGGAACTTGTTGGGAGTTGCAGTGCGGCTTTTCCTCACCTCTCCTCTCACCGCGATGCTCTGTTCGCCTCTCCTCTCGTTGCGACACGACCTCTAAATGAGGCGGGTTACCGGGAAACCAGGATAGTCTTAAGCGAAAGAGCACGGACGTGCATTATAAACAGTTCCGTGAGCATCGGATCGCGGTCCATCGCTACTAATACCACCGGGTCGTCCATTCTCCTGTCCGATTTGTCAGCTTCCGCGTCAAATGACACGTCGGATGCCACGTCAGATCCATCCCTCCCGCCAATCAAGCCGTACGACGCTCTGTTTCGCGATCCTCCGAAGCCTCTAGGCGTGGGACCCAATCCCAAGGTGGTATCTACACCCAAGGGAGGAGTATACGGCGCGGTGCTGGGCGTTCTAGGGTACTATTCCAAGGAGAGTGAGTTAATCCGCGGCGCGAACGCGCTCTACAAGGCGGTGACACGTCAGGCTGACGACGAGATGTTCTTAAGAGGTGGGCGGTGGTTATGCCACCTGGTTATCCTGATTCTCCAAATCAATGATTAAGTAAGCTCGTTTTTTAAATTCCAACCGCCTAATACTCACCTACTCCAAACTTCCTTTCCATCTTCTCCGTTTTCCCCTTCCCCACCCCCCACCCCTCCCTCGCCCTCCCCCCGCAGCGCTCGGCCTCCCCTCGCAGTTCCGCACGCACCACGCGCTGCTCGTGCTGCACACGTGGCTGG